GTATGGTGAGAGGATTGGTAAGCTTTGGAAGGAGGGGTCGCACAGGAGAAGGAAGTCTGAGAGGGACGAGGGTTAGGTTCCGAATCCTTGAAAACGCCAACACCCCATGGACCGCCCAGTTAACCGGAATTCGGAATGGACGACACAAGCGAAATGCGGAACTGCGCTCATCCGTCAGCGATTCACATCTTCTAAGAAACATGGAGGTAGTCGAAGGGATAAGTACAAAGCTATACATATTTACTAGGTACTGTAATCAAAACAAAGTAATTCTTAATTCTCATTGAAAAACACCGTTTGAAACGACTGTGTGTAGAAAGGATCTTTCTAGATTTCTGTGGAGATGTGAACTTACTTCTCCCTCTTTCATCGCTTTGGCAAGTCGCTTCTCGTAGTCTCTGGTGACGTTCTCCTTAGCTGTTCCGCTGTAAGTTAACATCTTTTCGCATGAAGTGAATTTTAGAAATGCAAATTTCATCCTACAGGGAGACATGCTTGCCGTTACCTCATAGGCCACTACGTTATCATAATTATCGGAAAAACAAAAGTTAACAAATTTAATAGAGCTATCCACCCAGAATGGCCCCAGTTCCGGCAAAGAAGTTTTTCACTGAAACTTCGCCAGGGGCCAGGGGTAATTTGATATCTTGATCACGAGTATAATAGTTGTTCTGAGCGCCAGCGTCATTTGGCGCCAATTTGGCGCCATTGCCTTTTTCACCAAAATCGATGAAGAACTTGTATACGAGGGTTATTTGATATCCTGATCACGGATATGACACTCATTCTTAGCGACGGCACTAACCTGGAGCGCTCCGATCACCTGCGCTGCGCCAAGGCTGAGCGTGACGAGGAGGGAATCCTTCTCCCAGGCTCAGCCTTATCAGAGCGCTAAATTTCGCTGGTGTCGAGAATGAACGCTATGAACATGAAATGACACCAAGATCTCAAACAACCTTACCATACAAGTTATATCAAATCTGGTGACAATGATGGTGGCGCCAAGTGGCGCTAGCGCCGAAAGCGAATGATTGCTTTTTCGATCGGTCCACCGAATTACCTCTAGGCAAAGTTTCAGCAGGTAAATATTCGAATTCTGGGGTAGTAGTAGTTCAATAGTGGCAAGTTAGTGCCATCTGTTCGCTGCTGATGCCAGGGCGTATTAGAGGGGCAGAGTTTGACGCGGCGCCAGTCCGCTTCCAGTTCCACCCAGTCTGGCCGCTTGTCAACTCCCGCAATTAGTGAAAACGAAACAGCCCCTCTGATGCGCTTCAGCAACCGCAGCGAACAATACTGTACAGAACTCCCCAATTGCAAGTATAACAATTAATTCGGCAACAGCTTTTGAAAGAAAAGGTTATCATATATTCATCAGAAAGGCAGCGTTCAGACTTCGCGATGGCAGCGCTTCGATCGCGCGTTCGGCTCGATCGGCGCGATCGATGCCATGCTTTAAACTGCATCGATCTTATAGGACGCTCGCGACCCGAAGCGCTTCCGCCTCGCGAAGTCTGAACCGCTGTCCGACCCTTAGTTGCCCTAGCTGCCAATTCTGCGGCGCAATCTTTGGTTTTGATGGGGAAAAATAGCGGTGACACAAGTTGGTGTGGCATTGAATTCGAAGTCATATCGCAACTACGGTCCGTAATTAGCTCTGCTGGACAAGATAGACAACTGGCTTTGAAATTTATTCGCGCTATGTCTGGGACGAGTATTTCCACTGAAAATGACTAGGTGACGGCCAAGAGGCCCATGTTGCGGAGCTACAAAAGCTTTTCAGCAACGCGAAGTCATGACTCATTTCCGGTGCTGCCCGAATGCCATGCGCGCGGCAGCTATCGCGACCGCACAACTCGAATCTCCTGACACTTTTCTCCGAATAAATTGAATGTAACTGACGTGATAGCATCGTGGTGTTGCATCAGTGCAGAAGCTTTTGACATGATCTCGACGTCAGCGTCATCTTCAGGACCCAGATCGGCTAACGCGTCCAGCTGTTTACATAGCTGAATTTGAATGTGTTACTAATATTGCTATAGCCTTATCAAACGTTAATCGGAAGGTTGAGGGAAAAGGCAGGACTCAGTGGTCTTAACTATGAGAATCCAGCCACAATCTGAAAAATTTACGTGTTCTAATAAAAGTGGTACTTCCAGCATAGTCAGATGGCTATGCGCATGCACATTGACAGCAACAGTGATTTTCTACAAATTACTTGCCATGAATAATAAAGATTTTGGCAACATTCATCCCCCACGGACCCTTTTACAAGCGACGGACTTTGATCGGCTTCAACTCCGGGGTAAATATTTGGCTAGGAATTTGTCCCAATGGGTATGACCCTCCGAACACGGGAATCATATTCATATGACCGGGTGCTCGCGCTAATCCTATGGGAGGCGCAAAAACGCCTCAACCATCGAAAGTTCTCTTCAGGGTTAGCCTAGTCCCACAAACAGGTAGTAAACATCTTTTTGGCGCTGAATTGCCTAGCTATAGCACTGAAGGCGTTGCGCCTTAGCAGCGTTGCGACTCGGCTCGTGCAGCCCGAGCGCCAGACGGTTCCCTTCTGAACAAAATTGATATTCGCGTTCACGGGGTCATACCACCCCAGTAGCCGAAATTTGAGCCAAATTCACGCTCACAGGTGATCTCTACGAGGAACCGAGCTCGAGAAGCAGGGTAGTAAAGTATGAAGAGCGCCGAAATTTCTCTTGAATGTTCAAATGACGGAAGTGCAAATTGCATTTTGGAGCCACAATTGTTCGCTAGTCATGAAAAGTCTAAAGAAGACTTCCCTCCTGTTCATTTCGCAGAAAAGTATCATAGAAGAACTATTCACAGAGCACAAAATCATTTTATAACAAGTAAAGTTAGATATCAAAGTTTTACCTGGAGAAGAGCGCTGGCCTCTCGAACCATACGCTTGAAGGTAGGTCGACTTGTGAAATACCCACTCCAGAAAGAGATGTTGGAAGAGGCATACCTAGGATAGATTGGATCGGACTGGAATAGTCCCACGTATTCACAATCCCTATTTTCAGAGCCATTTTTGTTACTGCATGAATGCTATCACAGTTATGGGTAGAGCAGCCTACCCCAAAGGGAGCTCGAACTCAGACTCTGTTGCGTCTGTGCTTTCTTGAAAAAAAAGTGGCACGCTACTGCACTTGTAGTATAAGTCGCCTGGGAGACGGGCAAGAGAATCGTAATTTCGCCGCTCCGCCGCGCGCGGCGATGGACGCGGCGTTTTCTTAACTCGTATTAACCTGTCGATTGGAGCACCGAACTTCATGTAGACCCGTCATTGTAGACATTCATGACCATTTTCGGTTCTGAATTGCCTGTTGTCGCCATCTACTACCTGAACCATCGTCATTTGCGGGCGCGACGTCGCACGCGACGCCCACAGCGCGGCAAATTACGATTCTCTCCTTCCACATACCCAGGTCGCCTCGAGAATGGAAGGACTTGGAATCCCCGGGAGATTTGCTTCTAGAAAACCCTTGAAATCGCTCCAGAAGAGCTGAAGTCAGCATTCAGCCTGTGTCGAGCGTTTTACGCCACGTGTTATACATATGTCCCCTTTGTGAGACCATTTTATGGAAGGTAAAAACCCTACGCAGGAATCTGAAAATCACGAATTAGCGGCAGGAGGTACTTGACCAGTTAGCAACTTCTTAGCAAACAGCTTGCTCCTAACTCAAAGACTTCTACTGTAGTCTGGGCTCTCTCAGTGAAACAGCGCCCCGATAACCTATCACTTTTCAACTTCTTGACGCCATATGTAGCTCACCCTACACTACACCCTTGCGTCGGAAAAGCGTGCCCTATTTTTTCATTTCTACGTCATTCAGGGATGGTTTTTGTGCAGACTCCATTCATTTACGCTCTGCTCACTTGCTATGAAGAAATGAGTTTTGAAGGCCTCCCGCCCTCAACTTGGGATGAGCAAGGCCTGACATTGTGCCTCCCTCAGTGGTGCGCCTCTCCTTTTCGAGCTGCTAAAGTTGAGAGGCGCATCACTGAGGGGATGCACAGTGGCAGGCCTTGCTCCGCCCATATCGCGATCGTGGAAAGAGCCTCAAGCCCAATAACACGCTTGATCAACCTCAGTTCAATTTGGCGCATTTCTAGGCTAGATCTAGCTGCGGATTTCCTGGACGATCCTATCATTTTACTTCTTACTACTTATTTCCTTGACTTACGGGAAGAAGTCGTCATCTTTCGTGGGCAAACGTGTCGTCGACAATTCTGTAAGGCCTTTGACGTAACACGATGGAGTCGAATAGAACACGTGCAGACCATGGGTGGCCTAAATGTCCAGATGGTGTACTTTTTTTCCCGGAAAAATTTCTGTTGCAGGTGTCAATAAGTGAAACCATCCTCACATTCCCATTCACATGTTGAATCAATTTGTCCAGATTTGTATACCATGTATTAGCATTTGTATATTGAAAATCACTTCCCATCAATAACATCACATGGGAAGAACGAAGGTATGACGCCTGAGTTGATTTAATTAAGCTAACTAAATTATTAGAGACACCTTTTCAATAAAAACTAGCCTGACGTTTCACTTGTTCCACAAAGGAAGTGATCTTCTTGTTCACATTGTAGCCTTCCAGGTCAGGATTGTCCATGATCGGATCGTCTCCGCACAATGTGTCAAAACAGAAACCTTTCGGTGGTTCATAATCACCTCGGTAGAAACCGCCGCCCAAAATCTGGGTCTCTAAATAGATGAGGTCATCGTTTCGAATGACAATAAGGGATCCTTTAGCTAAAATCTCACTCAGATCATCAGACGTGTTCCAAATGAACTCCAGACTTTTGTTTTTCAACCGCGCCTCTCTTTCCAAATAATGTTGACGAGCAAAGAACACTGAGGTGTAACCCATCTGAATATGAGCGACTGATAACTCGTTTTCTAACAACCTGTGATTTCTATGAGGGTGAGGGCGACAAGGCAATCCTGTCGACTTTTCAGGTAGGCGTGGCCAGAGATGCCGCGCTCGCGAGAGACGAGTTGTCCTGCCTTGGCGCTTCA